ATTCGGCCGTCGCAAACGAAGATATCCCCTGTGTGCTTCATAATGTGGTGTACACAGGAGTGGTGACTTAGGCTGCATCTATCGCACCCTCTCCTCCTTCACCCACTGCAGCTTGGCGTCAAAACAATCAAGAAGACCGAAGGTGGAATCGGATGCAGTGGCTGACACAGTTAAGGAGCCTGTCTTCGCATGACACAGCAACAAAAGGGTAGCTCGGATCCCAACTCACGGACTGTCAAAGTAGTCACTTTAACGAGGAGTCATTTTGGTTAGGCTCACCGTCCCAGGAGGACCTACTTATCCCGCCCGTTGGCAATCTTTCAAATCACAGCGCCTAACGCACTGTTATGGTCTAAACGAGCGATGAATAGTTTATAGTGAAAAGTATACACTGTGCCGAGTCAACTTTACTTCCTATTCCTTCTTCTAGGCAACTGTCCATTTTACCAGCTGGTCAGTCGTCTGGTATGGGGATTAGGCACGTGTAGTTGACAGACGTATACAGTCGGTCTGCGTGTGTCACATACTGTCTGACCCTCAGCAAAACCCACCAGGTTTTCATCCAAAGGGGGTAGGCTATTCGGATCTCATACGCGGCAAGGTGCCATAGAGACCACATAGAGGAGGTGCCGAAGAGCACAATTCTCACTTACACGAGAGGTGCGTGTTCTGTGCTACTAGTGAATGATGTTGGGTGAATTCGTGTGTAGTTTGTATTTTTGGGGGAGATATGCAGTAATGAGGTTTGGTCTGCGGTGGTTTACCGCGATTTTCTGTAAGACACATGTGACCGGTTTTAAACTGTTGATCGTGGTCATAAAATTATCGAATATGCGAACCCAGTGATTCCATACTTTGGAGGCGTCTGGAGTATTTGGGTCCAAATCAAATCGGTCTAGTCTGAGGAATCGATCCATTTTTGAGTTGTAAGATGAATAAATTATTGTAGTTGGAATAAGCACAAACTCGATTAAGTTAGCATAAACGAAATAGTCGTAAGAGTCAGAACTGGCGAGTATCCTAGAACTGGACTTTATTCATCCTACAATTACGTATTAGAACTTAAACGAAAAACAGAGTAGTAGAGCGATATAAACAAGTCAGAGTAACAAGTTTCCATGTCAGCGGTGGGGGGGGAGGGTGCGTAGGTGCTGATAACGGTGACCAATTGGGCTCTACGAGGAGACGCAAGGATCGCCTTCGGGCGGCTGCTTAGTTGACCCTGTTCGGAGAATCGGTCTCGCTGAAAGTTGCCACGTACACCTTGTAACACACCGCTTCTCAAGCGACCAACGCCGCCCTTTCGGCCGGTTGCTCTGCGGATTGCTTTAAAGGGGACGAACATTACAGGCTACCAGAGTGAGCAGCCACTCTAGCATCCAGTAGGATGGAACAGAAATTAAGGTGAGGGGTGTTGCTTGGCGGTCTCGACAGTGGGTTGCAACTCTACGAGTCATAGTCAGCGTACAGATAACGTGGTTCCAGCATTTGTTTATGGCATATTTTATAGTCCCGCCTTCCTTGGGTGGTATGCAGCACTACCCCTAAATAGGGTTGCCTAGACATCCTAGGCGATCGTCGAATTCCATTAGGGCCACGGCTTTGTTTAATAGAGGGATAGACTTCGGATAAGAACCATCTCTAGCAACCATTCAGCCTTGTAATTTATGAATTCGGATCACAGTTCAATAATTGGTGACACTTTACTTTCGAACAGGATTTATTCGCTTCTTACCATTTGACCTTTTTAGTATTTTCAACAACTATTTGGCAACAGTAGTTTAAGTAGTGCACCTCATATATCCCTAGTTCCAGCATTTGATCCTATGGAATGAAAATGCTGATTATTAGATACGATTACCCAGACGAGCAAGCTTGGAATAACGACATAAAACAGCATAGAAATGAATTTAGGAAGGAGACTCGAGGTGACACAGGAGGTCCTGACTATAGTTTCGTGACACTATTACAGTATAGCGATTGAAGGCTCTTCAGATGTGTTCACTATCAACGGTTTTCTCCTTTTTCCTTTATTTATATCACGCCTTAACGGCTGTTACCAATATCAGTCGGCTCTTTTTGAATTTAGTAGTGTATAGCTATGGAGAATGCTCCCATGAAAAATTGGGAGCTGACCCTTTACGAGCTGCAACGCAAACCACAAGAACCCATCACTGATGGCACTGAGATCGCTGTTAGTCCTCGAAGCCTACAAAGCGAGTTGATGTGTCCTATTTGCCTGGACATCCTCAAGGTCACAATGACGACCAAGGAGTGCCTACACCGGTTTTGCTCGGAGTGCATCGTAACTGCCTTGCGGAGTGGAAACAAGGAATGTCCCACCTGTAGAAAAAAGCTCGTCTCAAAACGCTCTCTCCGACGGGATCCAAATTTTGATGCACTCATTGCAAAAATTTATCCCAGTCGAGAGGTATGTGAATGAGGCTATTTGCTTTTCTTCGTCATTTTGAAAATGACTTTGTTCACTTTTCAATAAGTTAATACTTTTATCAGCAGTTCGAAGTGATTTTTTTATTAACCAGACTGCGTTTTTCTTTAGGAGTACGAGGCCCAGCAGGACAAAGTTCTTGCAAAACTTAACAAACAACACAGAAGCGCTGTAATGACCCACTCCCTGGACCAACAAATTAATTTTGAAGGTCCCCACTCTGATTTACTCTACCGCAGTAGACGAAACTTGGAATCCCTGCGCCTGGGTGGGAACCGGGCAAGTGCCGAATCCGTTGCCAGTGAAGATGATGCGGCTTCTACGGTCAGTACAGCCTTCCGTTCTTGCGTCTTTAGCTGCATATTTTTAGTCTCACTCGCCTAAAAGTTATCCTTAGAAGTGTTCTATCCTAGTTTTCGACTGGAATATTGAGCTATGCAACTGATTGGCTTTATGCTAACCTGTCACTTCCTATTTTTTTTCCTCTGCTCTGTTTAGCTTTATATACAACGGAACGGCTTCCAGCCTGACTTTGCCAGCAGTCTAATTCCCGTCCTATAACTCTTTTAATCCGCGTATCTAGACCGTTCCTAAGTTGCTTATTAAGTTGAAGAGAAGATGAAGACCCAGCATGCAGCCATGACACTGAGGACGTAGGCGATCGTAAGGATTTTGAGGACCAAATAGTAAAATCTAATGTTTCCAGGCTTCGCTTGTGAGATGCTAATCTTTTCAGGAGCCTTTAACGACAATTATTCTCGAAGGGGCAGCTGTATGCTCACCTTAAGTGATCGCCATCGCTCCCATTATCCTCTTCCATTGGAGTTTT